TCACTTTTAATATAATCAATTTTTTTGGACTCATCCTGATCGACCGAAAATCGTTTCGCATTTGGCCGCTCTTGATATAACACAAAATATATAATAATCAACATAAATAATTTATTTTATTATAAGTGAAATTACAAAAACATCGTGATTAATTTACATCAAAATGATTTAATTGGTTTATGCTAATTATGAAAAGTGATGAAGCCAAGTTTTTTTAACAGTAATATTGGTAAGACTGATTTAATTATTTTTACTTTTAATTAATTCATCTAGTCACATTAATTTATTTCCATCCAATTAAATTAACAATGACTGTGCAAAAATCTGATCAACTACCACAATATGCTATGTATATTCATGTTGGTATGATTTAAATGGATATTGTTTCTATTTTCAGAGAGCTTACCGAAAGCGTGTACCAGTTAAGTATTTATTTTTAATCAATACAATTGCATATTTATAAACCATCATAGTCCCATTTGCATTCATTACGGAACGCAACTTCCTGTCTCGTCACGTGCAAAATACAATCACGTTAATCTAATAAAAATGTTTTCCACTTGTCTATTTGGAAACACTGCACAATCGCAATTTCCTGCTCATTTTACCTGCTAATATATCCGTTTCATTAAAATCACATAACATTATCCAATGAAAATTGTTAATAACTACAATTCATTAACCAATACAGTGGAACCTCGCTTAACGAGCATTTCGCTTAACGAGAGAAATGAATTATATGAAAAATGATTCGCGTTTCGCATAATGAGTGACGATCCCAGATTGCGCGCCTACCACATCATGTTTAAAACTTGTGTACACATATTATGTATATTTTTGAATATGTTTCACCATACAAGTAAAAATCCGGAAATTTTGGAACGCATTAAACTCATTAAGCAAGGTTCCACTGTATATAGATGAAAATCTCCAAGACCTTATGAAAAAAGTAATTGTTTAAATTAATTATATTTAAAAAAAAAGCATAGTTTCTTTTTTATGTTGCAATGATGCAAAAGGAAACGGTGAAAAATAGAAATTATAAATAATTATGCACTTGGTTTAATTGAAAACAATATGGATAATAATTAATTATTATTTCCAACTGCATATGCCTATAAGTAAGTATAATTGCTTTAAATGCAGGACGTTATTAGAGAACAAATTACGAATGTGACTATGAACAAGAAATGCATCTAATTATTTTAAAATAAGTATATAAACGTGCATTCTCTTTGGCATTACATAATATTTCATTTTAAATAAGTAAAATATATTTTAGTTGAAATATTTCACTTCGATTGTTGCTGTCTGGGTCCAATTCAATTTGATAAAATAACGCATTTTAAAATGAACAAAAAATATGTCAGGGATAAGTACTTTTATTACATGCAGATATTATTGCAAGTAATAAAAGTGAGCATTTCCAATCCCAATAATCGATTTGCTCTGCGTTTTGTTGCAACTTTGTAGTTTGTTGCAATCGACTCTCCAAATATTTTTTTAAAGTTAATTCGTTATAACTATTATTTTGAACTTATTGACTTTTAGAAATGATTGCAGCTTTTATTATGCAGTTTTATTGTTGCACTAAATGTTATTATTAATATAATAATGAATTTTATAAAGGCGTACTTTTGTTTGTAGTTGCACATCGCCCCAAAGAATAAAATTAATTCACCAGCTCCTTGCTTTGACACAAGGTGACAGCTGTCAAGAATTTTTCCCTAGTTATTGAATTTTTTGATAAATGATTTTTTTACTATTGATAATGTAAACTGATAGTTACTAAATATAATTATGTTGATATGAATATTGTTTTCAAATTAAAAGATTAATAAAAGTTTTATTTATCAAGACCAGAGCATCAATTGAATTACCGTTACATCGCACAAACGGTAATTATTTCTACGTAGTAAAGTTGGTCATGGCTGTTGGATCCTATACATCTATATATAATTGATCCTGCTATGGAAAAAGAAAAATCGGTATCATGTTTCGTTTTCTGCAAGCAATCCGCACCTAAAAGCAACAACACAATTATTCATCCGAGAATTTCACTTTTATAACTGAATTTGCTATTCGCATGCCGTCATAAGCAAATTGAAAATCGAAAATGCATGAAAATTACACAACAGAATAGAAAACTGTTCTACTCCCATTTTTCGTTTCTCTAATTGTCCAGTTCTCACTGATGCAATTTCAATTGATAGTTTCATCAACTTATTGGGAAAATAGGATTGTTATTGTAAATAAACTAGATGTTCTAATTAATAAAATTTTAGTGGTTTACTGATTACGGTTTTGTTTTAAGCCCACGGTCCAATTTCTGCTATCAAACGAAGCATTTCAGTCTTTCTCCTGTGTTATTTTTTTCTTTGGCCTTAATTTTAAAGTTAATAAATATTATTTTTATATAATTATACAAAAATGAAAACTAGCTATAAATCGGGCCCATCCGCAACATTGGTCTAAGGTCCCCATTTGTCCAAAGCCAGGACCCCTTTTTCTCGTAGGCCCTTCTACATTGCAAATCCTTACTATGTAGCAATATTCCAAAATAACAATATATCGGTAATTATGGTTACTAAACAACAATAGTTTTTTTTTTTCAATATAATAAATTTCTAATTCAAACAAGCATTTGATTAATTTTGTATACCAGCGTTTCTCAATATTTTTGCCTCATAACCCAACATATTTGTTTGTAGTTGTACTGCAACCCACATTGGCGAAAGGTGACAGCTGTCATTTCACGACCTAATAAACATTAACGAGACTCATAGATTAAGAATTGCAGTTGTGCACTCTAGTATGCGCATTTATCATTATTTAAAAAAATCAATATAATAAATATTTTGTATTAACCAAAACTCACTTTTCAATTCAAAAATTTAATTATTTCGGACACTATAAAATAGTATCACAATTTGTACAGATCTATTAATGAACTAATATAATGTATACTATAATTCATTTATATACATTTTTATTAATATAATCATTCAAATATTTTTAACAATAATAATAATATTAATTGCAAATATAGAATTACATAAAAACAAGTATGAAATAGAAGCCGCATGAATCACTGCAACGAGCTATTATTTGTGGTTTTGTACAGTACACATATTATTCAATGTTTATATCAAATTTATGTATAAAAAGATGTGCAAAAAGCAATCAAATTGAATCAGAAATCCCACTGTGTAGAGTTGTGGATCCAATTTCTTTACAAATCATATAAATTCAAGTGCAAATTTATGTATAAAAAGATGTGCAAAAAGCAATCAAATTGAATAAGAAATCCCACTGCGTAGAGTTGTGGATCCAATTTCTTTACAAATCATATAAATTCAAGTGCAACAGAAATAGAAATAATTCAAGGACTAAGAAATTTTGCATGATTAATCAGTGGTTTATCTAAGAAAAATGTTGATTCAGTAATAATACTTTTGAATAACAACCTGATAACATAACTTCGAAACATTATTTTTTTAGTTAACTATATTATAATTAAATTTCTCTGTACTCGATAAATCGAAACTGTGTACTCGAAACTATGATGATATTGGTTATGCGATTTTTCGAACTTAAGTTATTTCTATTAATTATTTTCAATTGTAATTAAAAATTTATATAATTATATTCTATAACGATTAGATTTTGTTGAAAAACCAATGAAAATTATTTGTATGAAATTTAAACATTTAAATTCAAATACATCAAAACAAACTGTAGTGTCCCAGGGATAAAATTCTGGACAAAGTGGAATATTGTCTGGTGTTGTCGTTGTGGAGTCTTAGATGTTGAGAATTTTTAATGAAATTCGTTTGGTTTTACATAACTTTATTCGTTACTTGATCGATTTAAGATTCATCTGAGACTATGCTCATCTTACGAGGTTCTGCTAAGACTATGTTCATCTTAAAGGTTTTGAAGAGACTCATGGGAGTTGTGATTGGGAGTATTGATGATTAAGCGTTCCCACGGGATTCGGCTTGGGTGGATTTGTTTATATGAAAAGTAGGATCGATTACGAATCTACGTGGAAATATTATGTGTTTATAAAAGGATTTGAATTAGGAGTACACAAAAAGGTATAGAAATGTCTATTCTTTACGCTTGGTCCCCAAGTGTATCGAACTGGGCTCACGACTAAGAGACTTTGTGGATGTTTCTTATACATAGTTTGTTATACATTCTATTAACAAAAATAATTGTAAAAATAATAGTTAGATACAACAAAACATCTGCTAGCCTTGCTACGCCATATATCTATCTTTTAGATAACAACAACAAATAATACAAAACTGCAGTTAAATGAAATATAAACAGAGTTATGGAAACGCAGTATTTCGCAAATAATTTGATAAATGAAACACAGAAGTTAATATAAATTTTTGAAAGCAATTCAAAATCAAACAAAACATTTTAGATATAAAACATAAATAGTTATGAAATAATTATAGATATTTCTAAAAGAAAAACAAGTATTTTTGTTTGACAATAATTGTTAATGAAATAAAACACGCGCACTTGAAAACTGTCAATCAACTGGATATGGTGACACACAGCAACGACAATTATTTTTCTCAGCAAAAATAATATACTAATTATTCATACCATAATTAAAAGCAATTGAAATTCCGTGTTTCCGCAAATTATAATTTAATTGATGCTTTTTTTTCTTCTACAATTTAATTTCAAGACTGAAAACGATTTTAAATAGCGGATTTCCCTGAACTTGGTGTCAAAGGTTAGTGAATTCTAATTAACATAAAATTGTACAAGTAACGCTCCAAAACAGAATTAAAACAATAGCAGTTTTCTTTTGTTCTCGAAATGTATTTAATAATTTATTATTTATATTGGTGTGGAAAATATATAGATTTTTTTTAATACAATTGATTCATAACTTTATGTACTTCAAATAATTATAATGTTATTGTTTGGATAATTTAATATTATTACATATAAAAAAAGGAGTCTGTTCTGACCTTTTCTGCCCTGCGGTATTGTATAGCACAAGTCGTGGAACTCGATATCAACGGGCATTCGTTCCGCTAGGTTCATCAAACTTTTAAACTCCTTCGGCTTCTGAACGAAGCCCTTTTCCAGACACGGCGACTCGTCCATTGCGATTACTGCTTTATTTAGATGCTCTTGACTTCCTCCAAATCCTTTCACAGCAATTGCTCGCACAACTTCGATGCACGATTCTCTCGTTTCCTGTTCAGCGTTGTTCTCTCAACTCGTGCAATTGGATTTTATATCATTTAATTTAATTATAAAAAAAATGTCAATTGGCTCGCGCACTTTTTCCCAGTTGCCTCGCAGCTCGGTGACTGCTTTCAAACTCTTGCTAATATTTGTAGCATTCTGGCTATTAACGACTCCCACTACGGCGCTTCGCTGAACGACTTAACTCACGATCGAGTTCATCAACACTCCAAATCTCATCCGAGATGTTTGTAAATTGCGTAATGATTTATCTGCGACCTTGAACTCCTTCGCTTTTACTTAATACATCAATGAATGCATCCTATACTAATTAACACAGTTAATTAGTTATATATTATCAATAAAAAATAAGAAAATATTTATCTGCTTTTAAAAAATTATTTTCAATCTTAATTAGTATACTTTAATTATACTTACAAAGACAATTATTATTTTTAAGTAATATAAATTGTCATTAATCTAGGTTTCTCCTAGATTAGATTATCATTCAACGCGATTTAGCAACATACAATCTAGTTCAGCGGTCTTCATACTTTTTACATATAAATTAGTTTTAGATAATAATTAAAATCACTGTAGACAGTAATTAGTATATAGAGTCAATACTTTTATAATAATAATTTAGAAAAAAAACATATTTTTCGAAGAGGTCGATCTAAATTCGTAGTTCGTTATTATAAATTAAATTTGGTTACTATCAATTAGGGTTTATACAAAAACCGACTTAAAAAAACCATTTTAAACCGGTTTTCGAATTATCACAAAAAAATGGAGAGACAGGATTTTTACAACTTATTATATATATTTATATATATTTATTTAATATATACAAAATTAAAAAATATATCAAAATCAAATTTATTCAATATATAAAAAAGCGAATAACAATAAATTACTATAAAATGCATCTTGTCATTATATACTGCGACTTAAAGATGACTTAACGCTTTCAAAAAAGTTCTTTGACAGTTTTGTGTTTAGTGAATACAGTTGTATGTTAGAGCGTTCCAAAATGAAGTAAAAATTTCTGAACGTTTTGTCCCATACATAAAACTTCTTGAGACCAGCCTTATGCAAATGGTTCGGTTTTCTGGCTAGTGTTTTTTTGCTAATATTCATAAGTCATATTACTATAATAAAAAAAAAAACTCCAATATTCCCGCAACAAAAATATTACTCTTACCAACACGAATCACACGAAATTGAAATATTATCGACTTTTTGATGGCTATGTGAACTCATTGTAATAACTGTATGAAATATTATTTATTTATCTGCTTTTATAACAATTATATTTAAATAATACTCACGCTGCAATCGATCAGTATAACAAACACAAATCAAACAGTAGAACTTGCGAAAGAATACACAACAAAATCAGTAATAAGTAATATTGAAGTAAAATCAATAATATTTGCAATAAAAAAGTTGTTTTTACTATGATTATTTGACTTTTTCCATTTTTAAAACCAAAAAAAAAATAATTACTCTATCAAGAAATCGTGCTCAATTGAATTGTATGTTTATAAATATATAAAGAGGATACAAATTACCATTAATTCATTTTTAAAGTAGACTTATACCACTTTCCAAAATAACGGCTCATTGTACATCTAGTCTCAAAAACAGATTTTTTTATTTGAAAATACATTTCTTCTTAAAAAAAAAACGGTTTTTCTAAGTAAAATATTTTGACAAACCCTAATATCAATCAATCTATGTAGGTTAAATTGTTATTGGCTTAAATTTTCATTAGACTATCTAACAAAATTATTATTCTTACTATTTTGAATATATTATTGTTAAATAATAATAACAATATATGTTGCTATAATTATATAGGTAAAATAGTTTATTAAATTAAAAAATTGCAAAGGTTATTGACCAAAACTTTTTTGAACCCATTATTAAATCACATTTTTAAAATAATAACACAAAATTAATAATAACATCAATATATACCGATAAATTGGCTTTTATAAAGTTACAAGGACATTTTTTTTCTTTAAAGGAAGTATTAGGAAATTACCAATTTCAGTGCATAGTTTATACACAGTTGGTTAATTTGCACTTTAACCGTAAATTATATAAACCTTGAATTAAAATCATACTATCTTTAATTATTTATAGTGTTTGAAATTATTATAAAAATAATACAAAATTTATAAATTAAGAATAGTACTTCGTAAAAACTGTATATTTTTTATTATTTTTTTTTAAATTTGCCATTAGGTATTAGAAAAAAATGTACAGAAAAAAATACTTACTGTATATCCCCAGTTAGAATCCGGACAAAATTGTATTTGAAGTTCTCGCTATAGGTGATAGTTGAGGCTAAAGTTAGCTAAATAAGTCATTAAAACTTTCATAATCTTAACTTGTCAACCCAAGCAAGCAAACGGGTACTCAAGATCAACTGTTTATGACGTTGTGAAAAGATACACAGTCTCAAAGGATTCTCTTATACTCCTGACAACGTTAACATATTTTGGTCGACTGACTACATTAAAACCCTACAAGGCAGCCAGCCTTGCATAATCTTCTAAGAGCACCATACATCATCACTATTTAAACCCGTTTCAAGAAAATGCCTCGCTCGCACCCCTCAAATAAAATTACCATTGCCCCCGGCAATACTTGCAGCATGTTTAAATTATGTAGATCCGATTTTCACCACACTCATCGAAACCATCAATCCTGCATTCAATCGACACGGAATTACTAAATAAATCTAATTCACAACACGTTTATAACACTACAATCACACTTCAACTGCCAATTATTTAAACCTTATGTACAATACTTTTTTTTATATATAATTGTAACCTTCATTCATGCAGAAAGAGCCAATAAAACCATTCTCACTGAAATAAAAACACTAAATACATATATTTTGGTCGAAGGACTTACACCTCCTAACAGTCCCAACCTAAACTCTTTGAACTCCTACGTATAGAGTGTAGTTGAAAGGCATACCAACAAGTCTTAACGTCAACATATTTTGGGCCGTTATCGAGCCAGAGTTCATGATAGTGAGAACCGCGATCAGTTGAAAACAACGTGCTCGCGAGCTAAGGCGGTGATCGTGGTGCAGGGTGACTATATAGAATGAAAGTTGTCAGCAAAGATCCATTAAATGACATATAACAGCATTTTTGTATATTTGGTAATAATAAACAACTTTTACCTAAAACTTTGCTGTCCGGATATATTATTAAGCCTATTATTAAGCCAATCTGAACCTATGGTAGCTGGTGGGTTTTGCCTGCAATTCGACTAGTGTAATCCAGCGATTCCAATCGAAAACTTTGATGCAGATCAATAATACTTCTTGGTACGCTACAAATGAGAAAATTCATGAAAATTCCAACATTAGTTTTATGACGGAAGAGATTGCAAAGGCAAGAAGCTGATATCAGCAGCGACTGGCGATTCATCCAAACATCCTGACAACAGACTTAACTAACACAAGTGATCATCGCTGAATATTAAAAAAGTTCAAGCCACAGGAGTATCAAGTCGTTTCTTCGACATTTAATGTGCTTTACGTGGCGAGCGTCTATGTTAAAAGCCAAAACATCAGCTTTTTTTGTGTATGGGCGACTAATAGCCGAATGGTTAAGTCGCCCTAAAGATTACCTACCTAATGTCAACCGCGATCTTAAATTTACTCATTGTTCACATTGATGAACATATTGTGAATCAAATTACACGACATAAAAAAATGTATATAAACATATTTGTGATAATAAATGGCCATGATCGTCTAGAGCAGGGGTCCCCAACCTTTTTGCACCCAAGAGCACATTCTAGATTGGTACCCGCAATTTTTTCAAGGTAAATTTATAGTTGGACATAGTCAACACTACACGCCATGGTGCCAGCGGGCATAGGGTTAGGGACCCCCTGGTCTAAAGTATGTAAATAATCCTGAATGACATTATACTAATACTAAGAGCTTACTTACCGTAAATCCATCATCCATTTATGTACTTTTTTGCAATTATTTATTTTTTTTTCCCAAAATTCTTCCAATGTCAAAAACATATTACTTTAATTCTTATTTTTCTTGTACATAACAAAATGTATTGATTTTAGTCAAAACTAATTACATATGATTCAGATTTTTTTTTAAATTTACTTTCATTATTTTAATTAAACTTCAATCATTGTGGTACAAAAAAAATAAATTTAATTGCATATAGTGGTAGAAACATGCAAAAAATAATTGCTGTAAAAAGCAATTAATAATAATTGTTGTATAATTTTAACATTGAATTATTGTTAGATTCGGTTCAGTAATATTCATGTTGAAAATAACAAATTCTTTGTAAAATGTTACTCTAGATTAAACAAATAATGAATAATTTAACAAGGAAATAATAATATGTTAATCATATTAGAATAAAATAAAAAATAATAAGTATACTTATTCGTAAATATTTCATAAGATATTTCCGCTCATATTAAAATAGGTCGTAATATTAATAATATTGTTTTACTATTCAAAAGTTTAAAATTTCTTCCAAATTAAAACATTTCCTAGTCCCTTTTTATATTATGTTTATTCCTTTTCTGTTGATTATTTATTCGTTATTTGCAATTTATCTATTTATTTGACAATTTTTGTATGTTTGTATTAAACTCTTATCAACTCAATTATTCGCAATTTTAATTGGTTAATTAAAATTGCAAATGGTTATTTTGTACAAATAGAATTTTATTTCAACGTCACTCTTTGAGATAAGACATCGCATGCAGTATCAGTTATGACCTATTGAACAATATTAAAAAAATTGAAAGTGGTTAAGTTTATCAAGAAAAATAAAATATAATTGAGAGAAAATGCAATTGTAATCTTCTTCTTCTGCGAAATACATGTCTGTCGACAAGGAATGCTATCTCGCCTAAGTTCATCGCGTGAACGAAGCAATTCTGCAAAAAAGGGCCGATCAACGTGGTCAAGTTATCTTTCTTCACAAAAATGTGCACCCAAAAACCGCAAACATCCTTTATACTCTCCGAATCTTACGCCAACGGATTATCACCTTTTCCGTTCATGTCGAATCAAACGAAGGGCGTTACTTTCGCCAACGATGAAGACTGAAAATTGATTAAAATGTCTGAAAATTGATTAAAATTAATTATTTCGAAAAATTGAAGCAGGTAGGTTTGTAGAGGAAGAAACCTTGCTTAACGAGTTTAATCCGTTCCAAAATTTCCAAATTTTTACTCGTATAGTGAAATACTTGTATAGTGAAACATATTAAAAAATACTCATAATATGTGTACACACGTTTTAAAAATGATGTAGCAGGCGCACAATCCGGGACTTCTCTTTTCATCGTCACTCGTTATGCGAAACTTCGCTCGTTAAGCGAGTCATTTTTCTTACAATACATTTTGCTCGTTAAACGAGATTCCAGTGTAAATTTACGGGGGAACTTCTTACACAACCCAATAAATTGATTTATATAATATAAAGTAATGCTTTCTATGCATATATACAATCGAATTAATCTATAATTTAAAAAAGAATATAACCATATTTATTGACTATGTGAAATATAAATCAGTGTTTGTACACAATTGAAAATGATATGATGATATTATAACATCATTTTAATATTGATATTAAGGTTTATACAAAAACCGACTTAAAAAACGGTTTAAACCGGTTTTCTATTAAAACTTCTATTCCATTTCTTTTGAAAATTAAGAAAGAGATTTAATTCCATCCCAATTGTTTGTTTGTTTCATTAAACAGACGATTTCGTATCAAAACCGAAAAACACTAATTGATATTCAGTTATTCTTAGAAGATTTATATTCTTATTATATACCATTATATTTGTAGAAAATATCCGACACTTATATTTCAGTTCTATATTTAATTGAAAAAGTAACATTTTATTCATCTTTCAAATATTTTTAATATATGCAACTTAATATACGTCAATACTTATATTTAGTAGACTTTGTGACCTTTCTTCTTTTTCAAACCTATATAAATAACTAATCAAGAAGAAGAACTAATCAATTTGATAATGGTTGGCTATACCACGAAACTTCAAAAACCAACAATTGTGGGGGCCGATAAACCCGAAAAGGGGTAAAAAAAAGAAATTTATATCAATAATAAATTGATAAGAATACATCTTATATGTAATTTTACTTGGCATTGGACATATATCTTGATGGTTTGAATTGTTATAAGTATATACTATACTAAACAAAACAATATCTACTGATAAGCTATTGTTCAGTATAAAAATTTCATATATGTATTTTTAAATCCTTTAGTATTTTCAGTATTAACAATTTAGTTACTTTGCACTTATTTAATTCAATCTTAATTACTTTATTTAACAATTTTTATTCGACCCATATCAATCTTAATAATAATAATTTATTGGCCAAACATCAATACATAAGAAAAAAAAAAAGTACGTTCTATACATATAAATAAATAAATATAAAAATATATATATATTAATAGGCTGGCCAAAGGGTAACAATCTTATTTTATTGCATTTATCACTCTCACGTTTTCTTATTACAATATAATAGATTTTTTGGTTAAGTTTCAATTTCAAAATCAAGTTGTTTTTAACTTTTTTAAGTGAGAGTATTTTTCATACACACATAGATTTATTTATAGTTTATTTAAAATTGCGAGTAAAGTACATTCATTAAAACATATTTCTGCTTGCACTTAAACTGTCGTCTGAAACCCATTAATCATTGTTACAGAACACATTATTTTATTTTAGAACTTTATCGTAAACTTTCATTATTTCTTGTTTCATCCAGAATTACATCCAACACATCATTAATTTAATTTAATAGACTCGTTAATGCCGAGATAAAAGAACTAAAGACATTAGCTTTTTTTAATTTATTAACATACTATTAGAGATACAGATGATATCTTCAGTATTTATTATATAAACCAAGTCATTTATCAAACAATAATGTATACAATTTTATAAATATAAACTTTTTAATTTCTGAAAACAATTGCAAATTATGTTAAGCAATTGCTAAATCGAGATTTTCATATCCTTTCAATGTAAACTGAAATGCTTATTACATAAACATGAGTTTGTTTGTTTGTTTGAATGTCAATGCATTATTACTACAATAACTTCATATACTTTTAGCGTTATGGAAATTAATGTAATAATATGGGTGTATACAAATTTATGAACAATGTAAGCGATACATCTTACATGAGTGGGTCAAAACTGCACCAAGCAACAAATGGTATTGGGTGTAGCAAACTTTAAGTTATTCATACGCCTCTAAACATTCCTCGTTGTCGCCAAACCTATATGTTTTGTAAAAATGTTCACTTCCTACTAATAAATGTAACATAATTAAGACTATATATTAATTAGATCTGCACAAATGCATGAACATACATTACAAATACTTGTAGATCTTTTATCATTTATATAACAAATGTCAAACTTAATAATATTTTCTTACCTACTATATTTATTATATTAAAGATCGGATAGACATTGTTTTTATTTATAAATGTTGTTATTATTATGTTGTAGGTAAATTAAGTAAAGACGTAATGTTAAAATTAAATGAATTTTATTTAAATAATAGTTTACAAAATAAATATGTATTGATAAATTCTTATAATAAGTCAATTAAGGAAGTAAATTACAAAATCCTATTTAATTTAAATAAGTCTTCTATGTACAAAATAATAGCAACAAAGAGTAATAATAATATAAAAATTTTCAACACGTGCAAAATGCAAAATATATACATTTTTCTTTTGCTAAAAAAATAGTAATAAAAATAAATAGCAGTTATACTTAAAATTTGGACTTAATTAGTAACTTTTTGGTTTAAAGGTTTGTTGCGTTTTGAATCGTTTGCAGCTGACTTGGGAGCAGTCGCCCTTACGGATGGCATCCAATAGGTGTTCCATTGGTTTGAAGGACTTGTCCATGTCTGTGTCCGGATTTCTCAGGCTAGAAAAGTAGCAAAGAAAGAAGTTAATTACATAAAGTTTTCGAGCAGACAGCGTGTCTATGGGAATCTTTGAGTAACAACGAGTATTTTGCACCGGTTCCGGTGGTCCGCGCCGGTGGCCGGTCAGGAGAAAGTCATTGGAATTTTTGGGCCCCGGGTGAAACAGCCACGGAATGTGGCTGCATCTGTTCGAGGTGGAGGAAGTAAATGCAATCTTTCTCCTCGGGCCAGACACACTCACTACTACTACTACCTAGCACGTGTACTTCAAAAGTGCGAAATTCATATTTTAACTTTCTCTTCGACATTCTATTTGCCGCTTCAATTTAGAAGCGATACCTCCGCCGTTCGTAGACTTTTACGAGCTACAGCGTAATTAAATTTGAGTTGTTTCGATTTTTAATTGCACGGAAAAGGTAATTGAGACAAAACGAAATGTGGACGTAGCTATTTTTCTCTTCTTAATTTTTCATTTGAAGCGATTTGCAAAGGAAAGTAAACGCGGAGCAATGCTTCATTTTTTTTATTATTTATCTCTGTCGGTCTCTTAATCTTATTTAGGCCGGTGAAAGCATTCTTGCTCATCTTTTCTTTCATGGTATTAAATATGTAAAGTGGAAATTCCAGGAATGTCCGTAAGTAAATATATAAATAAATAAAGAAAAGAAGCTGTTACTCACTGTGACCAATCCTCGAGCCAGACCCGCAGTCTCATCACCATGTATTCTCTGACGGATTCATTTGGTTCATTCACGATGTCTTGGCAAACTTGCCTCTGGGTGCAGAATGACTCATCGGAAACGCTGTTCAAGTCCCGAGCAAATCTCCTCCTCTCCTTTTTGTTGTTGTTGTTGTTTTCATCGTTGATCGACTCCAACAAGACGAGGATTTTGTTGTTGTATTGAGGTTCCTCGTTGAAGGCGCGCATTTCGCTGGGCTCCAAGAACCGTCCAACAGCTGCCGCTCCTAAGCCCAAGGCAGCACCGCCTGCTACCAATCCTAAAGCCGGAAGAATTGCGTTCGAACCGATCGGCGCTAGAATTCCGACCTTCTTCTGTGCAGGTTGCTGATGGCTAAATCCCAAATTATAAGAAATCTTATGTGTAGCTTCTACGATTGGCTCAAAAACGGGTCTTGTCAACTGCTGCATTCTCTCCAAACCGTTCTGCACATTATCTTTGATGCTCTCGGTTATTTTGAACCAGAACGGTTGTTCCGGCTGCTTAGGCTTGATATAATAAGAATTATAAGGGTAATTCAGAACATCTTTCTTATAGTATTCTACGCTGTTCGGAGTGTACTGGCTCTGCCTTGCTCCATTTCTTTGATTTTGCTTATCGTAGCTGTATTCATCTTCTTGTTGGATCTTCGCCGGTTGCACACCGAGCTCGGGATGAGCGTACTGAAGAACCGGCGTCCTGACACCCTCATTAAAGTTCACAGGACTCAATTTAGTTGTCGGTGTGTACAACTGAGAATTGGGATAATAGTTGTGACCTTGGTACTGTAACATTCTCCTCTGCAATTGGGGCGTTTCGACGGCACGATATTTCCTGTTCGAAAAGTAATCGCGCTTCGCCTCTTTATTGTTAATCTCCTTGATGTAGTCAATTAATTTCGCGTTGGTCGACCTTAAATTGTCTTCCCTGGTGAACGGTCCTCCGTATTTGGCGCCGTTGAAGTTGATGTAATTGACGGGCTTAGTTGGTTCATCCAAGTTATCTTTGACACTGAACGGTCCGACCGGTTCATTAGTAGTCTGCGGCTTGAAATTATCCTCTTTGGTGAACGGTCCAACGCCTTCATCATCTTCGGCGTGTTTCTCTTTAGTTGCGTAAATCAATTCTCCTAAAGGTACAGCCGCTGGTGGTTTGTATCCCTCTTCGTATGGATACAACTTTCCGTTGATAACCCTAGCATTCCTCCAGGTTTCATGCTTGTCGTTTTCATCATCCGGGACTCGGACACCGTGAATCACCGGGATACCATCTTTACCAATCTCCACGGATCTTCCTTTCTTCACATCCCTTGCGTTCTTCACGTAAACGTCTCCGCTCTGGATAGTCACAGGTCGTGGAACATACGGGATTCTGAAACACATACCCAATATCACATCATCACAGAATCAAAACAAACCAAAAGAATACTTACATATCACTATCTATAATGTTTGATGCTTTCTTCACTCTAGTTTCTGCCGGTTTGGTGGTACTCTCCGAGCTCCAAACCATCGAATTAATCGGAATCCAATTATTGTACGAACGACTCGTTGGTTTGTTGTCGCGCTTCTTCACAATCAGATGTGCAATGCCTCCATCTCTCGTGACTACTTGAAGAGTCTGCATAGAATCTGGATCGAGACTTCTCGAAACTTTAAGCTCCGTCCTTGCTATTGTTACAGGAAGTTTAGTTTCACCTTGACACAATGAAACTAAAATTGTCAGCAAATGAAGCACCTGAAACAAAAAATAAATAAATAATGTTAATTCAATGATTAAATAATAACAACAATAATTTGAATGTTTCTTACTTCGTATTTTTTATGCAAAAAAAAAATTACATTGGAAAATAAATTCATAATTGCCTCAATTATATATTTTTATTTTAGAAATTTCTTTTTCAAATTAATTTCGTTAAATGAAGAAGAAAAAAATGCTATATTCAATTTATTACATTAAAGCAAATCATGTAGTGTGAATACATTAAATACTACGTGAATTCACGACATTCCTTCAATTAATAAAATTAGAAAGCAAATTTAAACTCTTGTTTTTTTTTGTATATTTCTTCCTTTACTTCTTGATTCTCAAGAATATATAAAATTGCCATTAGATTATTATATTTGAACCATTGAAAGCATGCCGCTCCATAAAGGATCTGGGCTGTGTTAACCTGAAAACTACTTCATGCGCATTGGCCATGACAAAATGCACTAATGACGGATGAATTTCATGTATTTCGTTATTAATTAACGTAACCCAACTCAAACACATTATCCAGGACTCTTCAACTATCATAAGTGGTTTGTTGAAAAAAAAACATAATTAACTACCTCTTGTTATTCATAACGATTAATTTGTTATGTAAAGAAATTAAATATCGTTTACTAATTCGTATTTCACATTTTCGTAGCTCATCTTTGAGGAATGAAAATGACAACTGCATTTATTTTTAAAGTTATAAAACTCTCAAAAAAATGTATTCGATACTAATATTAGAGATATAACTATACTGTACTTATTACCTTACTGTTATAGTATAGAAAATTAATCACAAGTGTAATACAGTGGAACCTCGCTTAACGAGTTTAATCTGTTCCAAAATTTTCGGATTTTTACTCTATTATACGAATATTTATTGAAACATATTCAAAAATACACATAGTTTTGTGTACACAAGTTTTAATAATGATCTAACAGGCGAGATTGCGGGACTTTTCTTCTCATCATCGCTCGTTATGCGAAACGTCGCTCGTTAAGCGAGTAATTTTTCTTACAATTCATTGCTCGTTATGCGAGGTGCTCATTAAACGAGGTTCTGTAAACTGTACACGGTTTCATTACAGATAAAGAAGTGAAATTTTGAACTAAATAATAGAAAAGTATATTGTTCTATAATAAAATAAAGAACAGATTGTAAATAAACATAAAATAAGAAATATAATAAATGTGTGAAATTAACAAAGCGTCATGTGGTAAAGAAATTTAAGAAATGTCTTATGGAAATTAAGTTATAAAAATGTCTTTCAACCGAAATAAATTAACTACCTATCATTTCATATACCACTGGAAATTTAAATATTATCCGCTAATTGCTGTTTAGTATACAGGGTACTTGACCTTTGACGTCAACCATTGTTTATTTATAAGAGAAATTCCGGAGGAAGAAAGAGAAATAATAGAAATGGATGCATAAAATTATACGAAACGATCACATTTTTTCATCGTTTTATTCTAGTGCTAACAACAATTTAATTTTTATTTCCAAATTTTAATATCAAGACTATCAGTGTATTGAATAAGAGGTTATCGGAATCAGAATCAGAAGTAATGAAATGCCGCGTCCTTGAGCGATTGATACGCATTCAATATCTCTCTTTCTTCCTTTTTCGGACTCGTATTTGCATATGTCAGGATGGAATTTCTGTTTGAAGAAAGTCGCCGTCTCGCGAAAAGTCAATAACTTTTAAGCATGTGCTCATGCTTTCACTTTAGTTTCGTAGTCCGTAATAGAGGCAGGCACGGATGGACATGTGCCACAGAGAGCAAGCACACTTTTCAAATATCCGATTGCATCGCGCCGGACGTTCTACGAAATTCCATTAATTAGAAAATTACGAAAATTATTACCTTTTCCGTACCAATCCGATCATCAGATTGATCATTAATTAAACTTTTCAACCAATACAATTCTCGCATTCCGTATAACTTTTCGAACTGCATCCATTTAATATCTGATATTTGATTTCGTATCGGATCGATTGAACACGTTTCTTCCTAATTACTTGCGCATGCCAACAAATTGATGATCCATTCGACCGCAGGCTTTTCTAATGGCTTCTAAGCGGAAACGTAGCTCTAAAGTCTTAATTTTGTTATAATTGATCTAATTAAATTATATTTTAAGTATGTTTACTCAATTTTCTTCAAGTGAAACTATTACCTTTTACTCTGCAGGAAACTATAAGAAATAATAAGTCATTATTTTCAAACAACGATGTATAAATTTTGTATCAATTATTTATTCTTGAAATTAATTACAAGTTGATTTCCATAAGTCTATGAATAGATTCAAATACATTTTGGACTGTCTTAATTTTAATACATCCACTTATACTACATTCAAAGATATTTCACTTATCCTTCATAAAAACCGATTTGATTTATTTTCGATTATTAACTTACCTTTTAGCTTTACGTATTGTTATCTTGAATATATTAATGAATATAGGAATAATGATGCGGGTAACTGCTAATATCCCCGCACTGTTTAAAACCGTACTAATTGATAAACAAACAGCAAAACATAGACATGACTGAAATTTCGGTTCCTATATTTATTTATAATTTATTTTTATTTTGCTTAATTAAAATTTGGTTTGCTTTAAAATTATCAAATTCTAGTATATAGTAAATTAACACTGATCGAAACCGCACTATACGAAGTATTACTTTATTAATAAATTCATTATATTTTATTTTGTATAAAACACATACATTATATAAATTGAAGTTTATTTACAATTTGCAATTTTTATAATAGTATACTACATATTTGTTTTCTAGTACATATGATTACACTAGTTTTTTTCTATGTTATCTAAGTTTCTTCTAACGCGATGTGTATAACACGACTATTTTGAAACAAATTTAATCATTTTTTTAATTGCAAATAATAAATCATATATAAATATTTATAGAATCTATAAAATAAATTAATTTCATTTTTAAATTTGAAACACGTGTATTATATTTCATTTATCGATATTTCAATAGTAGTATGTTTCTCATTGATTACTTTCTTTGGTCATATGAAAGTTGTTCTTGATATTGACTTATTGATCTCAATGTGGAATGTATTTATGCACTGCTTTTTATTATCTTCATATAGATTTACAAGAATAATTAGTAATACGATATGTGTGAAAAGCTATAAATATCATAATAATCCTATTTATTTCTAGTCTTAGCATAAGAAATTTATTAAAATTCAAATTGTTAGGATTTTTAGGATACACCTGATATCTTGAAGATATTTTTTTTATGAGGCATCGACAGCTTAAATCGACAGAAGATATTGGGCTGTAATAACTAATAACTATTACTGAAATTGAACCAAAATGAATAATCATGATAATAACAAAATAAAATTTTAATTGTTAAGACTTGAACTATTGTATAAACAGGTTTAATGATAGAAATTAAGAAAAACGTATTATATTACAAGTATAACATAGTTCATTTCTTCTTTAATTAACTAGATAATAAATGAGTAGGATTCAATTCCAAAATTCTACTAAAACAAATATGACTACTGCTTTTCTATTCGTTTAATATTATTGAGACATTCATTAAATATATTTATGGTGAGCGAAATAATGCATGTTCGTTTCTATTGATTCGAATTGGTCGTAAATATTGGAATGAAGACGCCCGAAGCCGGCGAAATTGATTTTGTTTTTATGGCACGTCATTAATGTTAATTTAAATTACGCGCCATGTGAAAATGATCGAGGAATGCGGGATCTCGAGTCCACATTTGGAAGAATGTTTCATTCACTTTCTAACGCATCCATCACACGTAGTAACAGCAATGTTGCAACCAAAGCCAAAGTGACTCACGTACAAAATAACATGCAGAGAGACCTGTCCTAACCCAAAAGGACTGGTGCATGTGTTTCCTTTCGAGAAAGTAAAATTGCATTTTATAAGATTTCACATTCCTTTTTACAGTTGATAATAATAAGCAAGTTGCAATAATTGGGATATTGATTTCTGTTACTGTTTAGTTATTGCTCCTTATATAACACTGACTGATTAATTATGCATTTGCTTAAAAACCGAAATGATCTATGAATACAAGCTTTCTTTAAACATGAAAATGCAAATAGAAGTTCGGGAAACTATACTTAAATTCTGGAGGCGTATAAAAGAAAGGATCTAAAAGTGCATTATTTATGACAACTGTAGCACACTTTCCACCAATAAATTAAGAAAATACATCAACAAATTTGGTTATGAACAGAAATTATCCAGTTGATAACCAAATTTGTTGATTTGTTTTTTAACTTAATAAATAATGGCAATAAATTCAAATGAAATAAATCACAAAATGATATTTTAATTGTTTTAAATGGTAATTGCAAATGAAAGTAAATCCTTTATGCATAGAAACTAAGTCCTGTGAAAACGTGCGAATGGAAATCAATTAGATTGTTGAAAACAAGATGAATACGTTAACAAAAAAAATAAACTGTACAAGGTAGAATTGCCGCTAATAAATTCGAAGCGAGTGAAAGTTTCGTGGCAACAAAGAAAGTATTTACCTATGATTATTATTTCAACTGAAACGGTGTTGTCGACCTCGAGTTCTCTCGGTCACTTTTAGTTTTCAATTATGTTGACCAAAAAAAAAAATTTTTTTATTTTTCTCATACAATTTCAAGCAGCGTTTGTTACAGTTCGGTACGAAACAAAAGTACACTAAGTACAGGCAATCTTACACGGTTTTTAATTTCCGGTTCACAAATGGTTTTATTTTTTCGTTAACAAATGGCTGTTCATTAAAACGTCCTCGAAAGAAAAGAAAAGCTATAAAACGAGCACGAACATAATGATGTAGGTATTACACTCTTTTTTTTTGCCATAAAATTAAGTTGTTCTGCGTTTAATAGAGATTTCCATTTTACTTTGTTGTTCTCGAGTTGTTTTATAGGAAAAGGAGTGAAAACATTTTGTTTTATGCTAAATACGACATGTCTCCCATAAGTAAATGAGAAAACCCATTGGATTTCACTCATATGGAGACAAATCAAGAAAGTGTAATCATTATGACCATATGCAAGCAGATGCAGAGAGAAAAAAATAGAAACTAGTTCAGTTTTACGCGTCAAGGTCGGACGTCTTTGTTTTGTGAAATTGTATGTTTCAATTTGGTTTACAATTAAGTTTAGTTGTTTTATTATTTCAAATACAATTCACTTTTTTTAGAAAAAAATAATTATAGGATATTTGTAATCATAACCAATCAAAAAATCCATAGTAAAAATCGAAATTATTGAAATTTGGTATAAAAATATTACAATTTAAAATATTTGCAATTTAACAACTTTATGAATATATTAATACTATATAACATATAATTGCTGGTAAGAATACAATGACATTAATATAGACTACTAAATGAAGAATGTTAAGAAAAAGAATAAACAAATGGAGTCAACAGTTTAATACAGTGGAACCTCGCATAACGAGCATTTGGCTTAAGGAGCGAAATAAATTGTAAGAAAAATGACTCGCTTAACAAACGACGTTTCGCATAACGAGTGACGATGAGGAGAGAAGTCCCGGATTGTGCGCCTTCTACATCATTTTTAAAACTTGAGTACACATATCATGTGTATTTTTGAAGCGAGGTACCACTGTATGTTTGAATCAACGAATTAATTAAATTTTAAAAATAATAGACTTGTACATAAATTTTCAATCGTCAAAACAATAATAATCTTTGCTAACTAAATTGACTAATATCCTGTTAGAGATAAATTGTTTAAAAAAAAAGCTATAAAGCAAATATTTTAAATTACTTTGTAATCTGAATATAATACACTGACCTATTGTAGTTTCTATCGCAGTGTTCGAAATGCGTAAAGAAAGTCGGTGGGCAGCAAACCATGTAATAGTTTTGTGAATGAATAGTGAGCGGCATTCACTGTTTAATCATAATTGTCCATAAACCATTCAAAATTCATTATGAATATATATATATATAAAAAAAACGCATGTGCCAAATGCTCGTTAGTTCAAATTTCTAACGGTGCTTAATGAAATGAAAAGTTTAATTGGAAATGAAATTCAAGTGCAGCAGCTTGATATAATTAATGTTTTAATTAATTGCCTTTTGGAAAGAGTACATTTCTTGCATTCCATTTGATTTGCACGTGTTAAAGTATTTGTTAAGGTGATTCGATTTCATCTTTTGTCTAGAAATTAATCATTTAATTCAATTATTTTAAGTGCTAATATTTCAAATTATATAAATAGACTTAAATATAATTTTATTTATTAGTTTTTCTTTAAAATTTTAGTTAATTGTTAGATGTAAAAATAATATGTATTGATATTATATTAATAATTAAATATTTCAAAAATAATACACAAATTTTGAGCTCTTTGAAACATAAATAAATTGTAATTCATAACAATTGTAAAGATTTTGTTTTTTACATATTTTATTTATATAATTCAACTAGGATTACTTATTTACATTATGTAATAAATACGTAAATTAAGAAACAATTGTCGAACAAAATATAGAGGAAAAACATGTATAAAATTTAAAAAAAAGATTAAATAGAATTATTGAGGTTACGTCATTAAATAAACAACAAAATATAATTATTTTCGCAAAGCATTAAACGAGTTAAGATAATTTAAAATGAGAATGAAGGAAACGGAGGTAATTTTGTTAAACATTCAACCTCTTTCATTATCATGGGAAAGTTGGAATTCGTTAGAAGAAACTGCATTTAGTTACATTTCATAGTAGTACCAATAATCTACGACTTTAATCTTTGGTCTCTATGTTCCTTACACTGGAAAGCTTTCCACGAGTACGTAATCACGGAATTACATTATCCAATGCATACGCTTTCAAAAGCATTTCAATTTAAAAAAAAGGTTTTACATACATCACGAAATCCAAATAACGGTCTTTATCTTCTTCTACTCATTACACCGACTCGTCTAAATGCCGTATATAAAGGTAAACCGACGATTCCAATTAAAAACTTGAAATATTACGTAATTGCGAGATTATTGATACTGTCTTACAGTTCAATTCTTTATTAAATACGGATTGAAAGATAATTTTGTTCATTTAGCTTTCATTATTTATCATTAGATGTATTAATTTTTATGAGAAATATAAAGAGTTAAACAAAATATAGAATTAAATATTACGTTTTCTATTATTTATCAAGAGCAAAAAATGCACGTAACATATAAGATAGAATTACAATAAATGATTAACTAATGTACATAATTTGTAAATGTTTAAAGAGATTGAAATTCAAATTATTGTTTTAATTAAGTTTGTCAGATTAGTATGTAAATTATCACAGAATATTTATTAGTGCAGCAATAAGTTCAATCAGTCACGAATCAATATAGTTCGATTTAAATATTTCAAAACAAACTAAATTTTAATTGAGCCAAATGGAAATACAGTACACAAAATTATTATTGTGTTACTTATTTTTATGTTACACGAAACCAATTATCCGTAATATGTATTGCATATTGTGTCTACTAAGAATACATATAAATAACATAAAAGTACATAATCAGTAAACATAATTTGATTAAACTTTGAAAAAAATTGAGTTGAAAGTATTTTTTTTTCTAAATATTGTAAGTTTGATTTATTAAATTGAAAATTGAGTTATACTTAATTGAAACTGTATAACTATTATTTTTTTATGAAGAATTTAATTTATTTTAAACTCATTAAGTTTATAACTTAAGTTTGGAAGTCATAAAATATATATAAGAGTATTTTCTTAATTGCAATGTATTGCAACTTAACACTTGAATCTTTCTTTATAATTTTTATCATTATGAAGGACATAAATCTATATAACTTTAATTCATTATTAGCTACTGAACATAATTTGTTATTTTTGGCAGAAAATCTTTGCCCTTTGGCGTAAATAATGGCCAAATTTGTAAATAACTATAATTGTAAAATGTTTGTGTTAATGAGTTAATTAATTTTGTAATTTTAGTAGAGAAATTGATAAAAAATATAATATGTTCAGAGATAATAGTGAAGTAATAAAATATTTGAATAAAAAATACCTTGAAGAGCTCCATTATTGTTGTATGGGCACTTGTCGAAACTAAATCCAAACACAATCGAAGAAGAATCAAATGTTCGTAATAAATGTACGCTGTTATCAAAGGTGTATTTTATTCACGGCGATAAATCGTTGATACCACCACATCGATCCACATCGGCCTCTAGACTGAGAGATTATTGGCCATCGGAGTCTTGGACGTACCGGAATAGAGAGAACACTTTCCACTTTCTGGGGATGTGACCCAGATATACACTTGCCTCGCCACTACTAACATACACATAGAGTGGAAAAAGAAAGAGGGAGCAAAAAAAAAAGGAGAAAGAACGAGAAAGAAATTCAAAAGGCACTGCTTGCCGTCGATGGTCATCAACTTCTCGTACTCCGTTTTATTTTTTCTTCTTCCTCCTCCCCGTCTGCCGTGCACAATTCGAGGATGGCTTAACGAGAAGACATTACACACACGTGACCACCTCAAATCAAAGAATCAATGGGCTAGGATTAGGAAAGGAAACGCATTCCGAAACGGAAACGGAATGTGTCTAGCTGCGAGCCAAAAAATAAAAAGGAAAAATTTACGTAACACATTTTTTTTTGTCCATCCGAATTCCTATTACAGTGATTGTAAACGCGAATAACTCTCGATGGGATGGTCCAGCATTAAAATTCCGAGAGAGACATATTCGAGACACAGAAAACGCGGATCGTTCGAACATTTCTCGAGATGACTTAATCTCCTTCACAAAAGAAAGCTAACTTTATCACCTGCTCTAATCAATTAGGAATTGTGCACGTTAATTGCGCCTTTTTAAAAGGCCATTCACATGTTACTTATAGTTAATTATGCGCGATAAAAAGTAACGAAAACACGGTTTCGAGTGTAGCGATTAATTTAATTTTTTTTTTCTGCGCTGCTTGAACATTTTAACAATGCAATAATTGCTGAAAGCTTCAAAATAGGAACAAAATTAAAAGTAGAAATAATCATAATAATAAAGAAAAGTTTCTAATTTTCTGCCCGGACGACGTTTGTGATATATACACACATACACACTGACAACAGAATTCTTCTTGTTATTATTGTTGTGTTTTTTTTTTATTGTGTGCTGTAAATCTGTTTAAATGTTTCTCGGTTTAGCGGTGTGCTTATTGTATTATTGCAATTATTATTGGAGAAACCAAGCGATTTCTCTAATTGTCTACCCAGCCACATGCTTAGTAACCCAACAATGAAGTTTTTCTTCGGCGGAAGAAATCTCTGCTGTGCCGCGCCGGGTTTTGCGTATCCCTAATAAAGATTCGAGTAAATTATTTTATAATCTGGCCATTTAAATTGCCATTGCTTGGATCATTAACAGCCAAGAAAGCGTGGAAACACCGACGCTCGATCAAGCTACGAACCATATAGAATTATAATTTTTTAATAATAGAAAAAAAATACACAGCTTTTTTTTCTATACTCCTTCAATTTAGACAATTTAAATTTAATTAGTTTTTATTGACATTTTTTTCTAATTGGATTGAAATTATATTATCTCCAACAAATATTAAGCACATATGATTACTTTGACTATTTAAAAAAAATATTCACTATTATTACTTTTAACTACATATTTTATATTATAATTGATTTTATACTTTTACAAAACAATTTCATGTAACGAAAAATCGATCTAAGAAAGTTGCTAAAAAAATATATATATTAACTATTAGATGAAACATGTAATTAAAAATAACAACTTATTAGAGATTTGTAATAAAAATAGAAAAATAATGTTATGACATCAAAATACAGAATCTTACTCATAACTTACTATAAAAATTAATGTAAAATACGATAGTATTTGTTCGTAGGATGACTAATAAAACAACAACTTTTGGATTATATACATTGTTATATATACATTGTTAAGATACAAGAATCATCTTCGTCGTTTCTTCTATCGCGAAATAAAATAATATGGATTTGCAGAAAACAACATCAATATCGAAATAATTCGTTTATTATTATATTAGACATAACTATTAGTTATTACCTAACTCTTTTTACTTCTCCTTTTTATTCTCTTATTAAACTTTGCAAATTATCATAAATTGGATAATTTATAATTAATGAATAAAATATATTATGAATATATAGCTACAATTTTAAATCATTTATTATATTTGTCTTTTAGCAATAGTAAATGTATTATATTTATTGGGTTATTCGGAATCTTTGTGACAATTTTCAATAAGTGAAATTGGCGATACCTGATTATATCAGAATTGTTAAAAATAATTGACTAAAGTACATATTCTGGAAGATGACATTTCAACTGTTTAATATTTGTCATCTGCTGTTATTGAGGTTATTAAAAATGGGTCGTTATAAAAAAGAACAACGTATTGTGATTGTTAAAACACAATACAAATTTGGATAAAGTTTTGCGGAGATTGTTCGAAAAGTTTTTTAAAAACATTTTTTTTTAAACATCATGTTTAGCGATGAATTTTATTTTCATTTGGATGGTTTTGTTAATAAACAGAATTTTGGGACAATGAAAATCCACAGTTATTAATGAAAAATGATGAACCTATAAATGTTCAACTGTTTGGTGCGGATTATGGAGGTGTAATTGGACTGTAACTTTTTGTGGAATCAATTGGACGACACGTGGTTTCAACAGGATGCTGACACATGCGATACAGCAAGAGAAACCATCGATTTGTTAAGATAACATTTTCCTGGTCGTGTGATTTCCAGAAATGCTGACGGTAATTGGTCGCCCAGATCTTGCAATTTGACGCCATCCGATTTTTTCTTTGGGGTTTTATAAAGTCCAAGGTCTATACTAACAAACCACACAATTCCTGAACTGAAGACAACATCGTATGACATGATTAATCTCAACATGTTTACTTTATATCAATAAAAAAAATTCTCAATTAAATAATAATTTACTGCGTTTCATGCAAAATTAAATCAGGCGTATCCGATGGGCCAAGAATACAAATAAAGCAATAACTAAGAAATATTCTGTTTATGGAGAAGTTTATTTAGCTGCAAGAGCTGTGGGAAAGTGATTTCAGCCTTAAAGATCAAGCGAAATGTCTACTACTAATAATGTTGAAACCTAGATATTAATCGGGAATAACCGGCAATACACGATTATAAAAGGTGTCCCAAAATTAACGCAACATTTGAATTTGCTGCCATTTGTGCAGTAAACTGTATTTTCTATTTAATTCAAATCTTGCGTTAATTTTGGGACACCCTTTATAATAAAAAAATATATCGATTTAGAAAATTTTTAATTTAGAATTTTAGCAAAACGAACATTACCCGACGACCCAATATCTAGGCAATAAATTATTATTATTTTTATATATAGAAAATATATTTCAATTTATGAGGTGAAATTTAATAAAAATATAAACGTTTATTACATCATCGATATTAAAAATACACATTATGTGATTAAATAAAATTTCTGTACATTGAATTATTTTTCAAAATTCATAATTGTCATAATTTCAACTAAAGAAAGCCAAATTATATATAATACCTCTTAGCTTAGCGAGCATTTTGCTTATCGAGCAAAATATATTGTAAGAAAAATGAGTCGCAAAATGGAACGCATTATCGTATATTACATTAGTTTATATAGGGAGAATTGTTTCACTATACGAGTAAAAATCCGAAAATTTTTGAACGGATTATGCTCATTAAGTGAGGTTCCACTGTATTTCTTATATGTACTAGATAAAATTGCTTTAAAAAAAAATTGTTGTTGTTTTTATATAATCTTACGTGGCCAAATTATAATTCGATATCTGAAATAATATAATAATTTTGAAGTAAGTATATACATGAACAAATATCGTGGGTATAATAGCATGTCTCTAAAAGTTATGATGACTTTCTTCGCGCTTGCCTCTTTTTTTATTTCAATCCAAAATAATATTATTGGCAGTGAATACAAATTACTACTTTCACTTTATAATCTATAAATGGCAAACATTCTGCGTAACATGCGTCTATAAAAACATAAATTTATTTAAATTGGCGTAGAAATAAATTAATATTCATATATTATTGCATCACTATTTAAATTTTGTAAAAATCGTATAATAGGTAATTATTCCAATAATTCATATAGTAAAATATGTATAGAAATAACTCGTATAGTGAGGCTTCAATCAGTCCGGATTTTTTATTCATTCAAAATTCAAAACAAAGTTTTTTTTAATTGTATACTGTGAAGTCTCTTTTTGCCCGAGATGTTGTCGGTATCGATTACCCGGACTATGCGAGGTATTGCAGCATTTTTTACACCTGCTGCTTTTCTATATTTATAAAATTGCTGACATCAATATATGAAATTTCATTCTTACTAATAAATCTAATACCATCTGTGGTCATCTGCTGCGCAATATGATACAAATTTAGTTGAAGTGAAATTGAAAATTTCTGATAAATAACCATTTTCACATTTGTCACTACGTCGAGAAATTATCACACAATTTGCAAGCAGTTCTTGGGAAAAGTATAATAGCAATAAAGATTAAGAACAATATTTGTGTACAGAAAATATTTGTTTACCAATTATCAGTGCTGTAGAAAGTTGTGTTGTTTTACACACTGGAATTATTATATTTTATGGTATTAAAGTTAACGTACACCATTTGCTGCAATAACTAGAATTAATACATACATACATTAATACACTGGACAGAAAGAACTTGCATGATGTTAAGTTAAAAGAGAAACCTCTAGATAAAAAAACTGAAGATCATGACTCATTTATTCAATTCCTAAAATATCTTTTTTGATATGAAATGGAGCTGAGTATAATTTACGAGAATGTATAATTGACAGGATTTTCAACGCACAAAATGGGAAAATAGTTTCTAAAGAAAACATTCCTGAGCCGTACCTGTTTTATTCTTCTTCTAAACGAAATATCTACATTCTTTCTTATATTTATGAGATCTGTATAAAATACACATTTTCTCTATTTCCATATTACGAAATATACTTTTATTTCTGGTACCATAAATTTTGTTTGATCTAATTTTATTAATCAATAATAATAATGTTTATATACAGAAATAAACAAAAGTAAATATTAATTTATAAACTTTGAAAACAAAACTAATTGACGAACTATATACAACATGACCTCACATAGTCCGGGTAATTTGTTCCAACAATTCCAACTGTTTGAAACCAAATTGCAATCGATTGCCCTTTATATATAGATATATTATAAATTTTGTTTAGTATTTTCAAGGAATTAAATACATATAAAATTAAATTGCACAAAGCGAAATTTGATTATATAAAGATAAAAAACGATCATTTATATATAAAGAATTATGTTGTGTACTATTATCAAAGCGTACTATAGTGAAATGATCGTAGCAGCACTATATGAGGTATTGCTGTACTATTATTTTTTACATTTTAAGGAAAGATCTTGAACATAAAGTCCTTTGGTTATAAATGTAGTCAATTCATTACATTGAGGTTAGATAAACCCGAAAATAATAAATTAATATAAATCTCTAAATACTGCTGTAATGTTTGCTTCTTCATTGTGCATTTACAATATTAAAATATATTAAACTCTCTAAAATTGTTTTTTTTTTTTCTTTGAATGTAATAATGAAAAAGAATATTTTTTCCTCAATTTTCCACATTGCAAAATACTATAATTACTGAATTGTTGCAAAAAAATAACCATTGTTATAACTTATATATGAATTACAATGAGATGAATAAAACTATTTTGAAATTGAATTAAATTGTACTATAATTGTTTCATATAATTTAATTAATTATTAATAATAATAATAATAAAAAATTCTTATGTGGTATTAATTTTATTTACAATCAATGTGAACAATAAGTAAATTTAATCAAGGTTGACACGGTGGCAATCGCAAGCCCGACAACCGAAATCCCGTCTATCGAAATCCCGAAGTTCGAAATCCCGAGTGTATCGAAATCCCGACAATCAAAATCCCGACTATATCGAATGTTCTAATCGTAGTATTGCTAGTTTTAGGAATATAGTATAGTATGGAAGACAAATATAAAAAAAAAACATATTTTTAATTGGCTATAATAAGATAATCTCATTAGTTCTATAATATTTATAAGTTGATAGTACATTTTTCATTTTAAATTTAAATTAAATAAATTTTGTTTAAGAATATTATCCTTGGGTATGGTTTAATTGTTGTTCCTTGTAAAGCTGGAAGTGCTAAGTTTCTTATCGTTTCTCTTTTCTCTTTCCAGTTACGCAACGGAGTAGAACTATTATCTAGTAAGTAATTGGGGAAGAAATGTTGTGCCCGGCAAATAGAGCTCGAGCTTCTTCTGCTTTCTCTGCACTTCCTTTGTTTTTCCGCGCGCCTGCAAACAATTCTATAATTATTCAGTGCACCGGGACATGAAAACAATGGATGCGACAACGTTATTTATGGTTGCACGAAGCCAGAGATCCATTTTCCATTCGAATATGCTGCTGTTCGTACTTCTTCTGGTAACTGTTGCATTAGCAGAAAACACTTCTGAAGTTCCATCAATCGCAAATCCAAACACAGTTGGTAAGTTTGAAAAATAATATTTGGTATAGAGTTTTATTAGATATTTTTTTATTAATAGTTCAGAACGTGTCTCTAGAAGTTGAAGATCAAAATGTCACGGTGAATAAGAATGCTAGCGAACTGCAGTGGGATAGCAGTAACTACAATAAATTGGCTGATCTGAGTAAGCCTTGGGTTAAGAATGTCAGTGAGTACCAAGTGTTCGAAGAATCTTGGAAAGCGTTAGAATATACGACTACTCCTAAAATTGATGCAGTTTATACACCAACTCCAATTCCCATACCACAAGCTCTGAAGAGCTTTGCGCGTCCGGTGACGATTACTACCACAGCAGAACCAAAATTGGTTACATCTAAACCAGAAATGCACAGAATTATTCAGCCCTATCAGGAATTAAGTCAATCGCGTCGAATAAATTTACAGCTTCCAACAAAACTAGACGAGTTCAAGCCGAGTCCGGAATTATCGTTCGAATACAATAAGTTTCCTGTCGTGCCGGCTTTTCCCGAGGCCAAATCATTTGGAAACACCGATCAGAAAATTCGTTTCCCCCAGAATACGAACACATACGACAGTCATCCATACCCGTTCCAAAAAACTGTCCTTAAGAGACCCATAAATTTCCAAGAGAAAATACTCCTACAACAGCATTCTCAAAAACCCGTCATCGAGGAAACTATACATACCGGATTGGCGACACCGTCACCTTGGAAGAAAATAATAAAAATCTTAACGGCCTTTATTCCCATTGGTCTTCTTATTAGCGCCTTAACTCCAAGCGTCATTACAATCACTCCGATGAATGGGACGTAAGTAGACGAGTGGATCGCAACGGCTGTATTTAACAGTATTTCTTTCAAGATATGGAAGAGCTCGATCCGAAACTCCAAATAAACCAGTTGCACTCGATTTAATCTCAAAACTACAGCAGGATGGATGTGACGAACGGATTTTCTGCGAAATATTGTTAAGCGCCGAGCAATCCAAAAGCCCAAAGAAAAACGTCGAAGGTTTATTGCAGAATTACTCACAAGGGTAAAACAATATATAAAGACATTTGGAATAGCATTAAACTTTAATAAACTGTTGCAGGAATGATCACAAGGAAAAAGTTGATAGAATATATTCAGCTTTGAAAGAAGGAAATTGCGATTTGTTTAAATGCGAAAGTATTAAATAAATAATTCGTTTTATTTTCAAATTTAATATTTCTTTATATTTGGGGTTCGTGTATTAAAATTTGATGTCGTATTTCATTGATTTTCTTGATTTGCTTCCGTCCATATCGTCTGCAAGCATCGCCAACTTCTTAAGAACCATCCTCGTTCTGTCCGTTAAGAATGTATCGACTTGTCCCATTATGTTCACTAGCTGAATCATCCTTTCGAAATTCTTATTGATCTTTTCCGCGTTTTCTAACTCGGCCTCCTTCATTTTAATCTGTTCCCTCAACTTCTTGATGACGTTCCAACCCTTCGGAAACTTCTCCGTATCTTCCTCGTTACTGAGGACTTCGTTACTATCAATCACATTCTCATTTATCTCTTCCTCACATCTGCAACCGAACACGAACTAATCTTAATTTGACGTACCTGTAAGTATTAAATTTTCGTCACTTACCAGTATTACAATGACTGTTACGAGAAAGAGGAATTGTCTGTCTAGATGCATTCTGTGGCCTGATTATTATGATAATATTTCACTTTCGCTCCAATTAATAACGAATGCGACTTGCGGTTTCTATCGCATTGGAATATGCTGATGAATGTACACCAATCGTTTGCAATAATGAGAATATGAAAATGTATAAATCGCTTATTAGGCCAATTAGCAGCGACCCCAATATCCCCTTCAATGCATTATTTTCAATTTATAATGACACATCAGAATTAATGAAAAGGCTGAACAGTTATGAATCTACCAGTGCTTTGTTTTAACGAATTTGAAGACGAAATGAATATTGAAATTATATTTTCTAAATTAACATTTTGTAAATTAATAAAACTATGAAAAAATTCCAGGTAAACAAGTAATTTGATGATAAATTGTATTTATAGTACTACATAAGATTTTGTAGCAATTATAATTTTATTTTTATTATTGTTTTAAGGTTTTTATTTTGTATTTATACCAAAAATGTTATTATTAATTCTAAAACTATAATAATATCTTATATAATCTAATTATATTAGTCACATGTATTTGTTATTAAATAAAATATTTATTTTATATATTAAATGTTTACAATATTTTAGCTTCAAATGATTATAATAATAAATAAAACTGTTTGCAATTTAATAAGAAGCCATACTTTTTCAAGATCATCCAATAAGGCACAGAATAATAATGTTTATTCTAGATGTTCTTAATAAAATAAGTATTTAAATCAAAATCCTAACTAAAACTTTGATATGATTTGTTGTTATATTTGTATTTATGTAACTTTATTTCTGTAATATATATTTATATTATTATAATCAAGTTATCCATAAATATAATTTAGTTCTGTAATGCATTTATATATGTATAATTTATAGTAACATTTAAACTTTTCTAAAAAAAAGATTATTATATTAGGCAACACTCATTACATAATATACCTTATGCAACACGTTATACATTAATGTTAAGTTCAACAAATGTCCAATTCGCGTCGCTTACAGCGTGTTCATTATATTCAATTGGTAGCATTGTTTGTATTTCCTGAATAGCCTTTTATTATCAACGTGAATATACGTTATTTCACGTGTGAATAACGGTCAAAAAAATTATTGTAGAAAAACAACAAATTGTAGGGATCAAGATGTCAACAACCAGCCAGAAACATCGTAATTTTGTTTCCGAACCCATGGGAGATAAAC